TCAACTAGTTGCAACTAAAAATTCCTATACTCTGATTGGTTAATTCCAAACTTTCCAACTAACGATTTGTAACACTAACCCCGGGAGAAGACCAAATGTCATAAATTTATATAATCAACATGTGGAAAGTCACAAGCATAACGTCTTTGCCATAATAAAGTCATTGATGCATAGAAATTCAAAGAGAGAAAGTGCTACCCCTGGACATTTGTCTCCTGTCGCGTCTCCGAAATCACAAAAGCTTGGTTTTCATAGTTTATTCAGCAAGCGTGATCATGATAAATTATCGGCATCTGCAATATCATCTCCAATGATGAAGATATCACCACCTATAATGAAGCTCCGATAAACACCATAAATGAGATAAAGAACTGTGCTTAACTGATATAGATCCGACCTCAACTGGTATTGACGATAAGAAAATGATGATGTGATCAGGAAGGAGGATATAATGCCATACGAAAGATATGTGCTGATGACGACCACGTGTTGCGGATACAATCAGATAGCATCAAAAGGTTAACAGATGGAAAAACGAAGAAAATGAATACCTATACAACAAAGGAAGTTAGAATCCAGACGTCATCAACAATTTATCACCGGTTGCATCAAGATTCTACAATAACAAAGACAAGCAAAGTTGATATTACCTTTATCCTTTTAATTACTCTTACCCTTTTTACAATTCCTTTATAATTCCTTCATTATTCCTTTGATTATCCCTATACTCTATTAGTATTTAATAACATACATATTGTTTTATTTCTTTATTTTTTTGATTTGGAAAAATATTATTATTTTGCTCTGGTAATTTCATAAAGCCATTACATAGCCATAGATGACTTTGATTCTTAGGAATCCATAACATATGCTGATTAAAGATTGGTCAGTCATGAAGTGCAAAATTGTAGCAGGATGATGTTTAAGGCTATAGCATTTTATGAAATTATCAAAGTGATTAATACTATTCTTTCAATTCATTTTGTATGAACAATATATTTATTTTATTCACATAAACATTTTTAATTTTATTAAAACTTTATTATTATTATCATTATTACTTTTACATTTTTAATAAGAAACATTGAAATCCTGAGGTATCCTTTAGCTACTGTATAAGATACAGCACCCAGGCTATATGACGTGAATATAGATACCATGATAGCCCAGTCCTCAACTTGCCCAAACACAAGTATTATTGAACCCTTGAAGTGAAAAAAAGGAATCTGAAAACTAAGATACAAGCAAGAAATACAGTATAATAAAGAGGGCTCACTAAGCTCTCCTCTTTTATTACAGCCGGCCCACAAAGTATATTCAGCAACTATTGTATTTCTTGTAATGAATTCATGAAACTAGGTTGAACAGAGCAAAACACCAAAGTCAAAAAGGCAAACCTCTAATTAAATTCAAAGGTAGAAAAGACCAATTAAAAGAAGCTGGTACAAGATTTCCTAATAAAACAAAAAAAAATATGACAGCAAAATAATCGGCCAAAACCCTAGCTCCAGTGTGTCATTTTTTTTTCTTATCAGTAGCAACCATTTTACCCAAAAATAATTCTTTATTTAAAAACAAAATTCTTACACATTATTATTATTGTTATTATTATTCCTTTTTTCTTGTTCTTCTTGATAACTGAAAAGACGAGGCCCAGGATTTCTTTTAGGATTTAATTGTACCCAGTTGAGATTAAGTTTATATTCATATCCAATAAGTATGCCATCTCTATCATATGAAGAACAATATTGTTTTTCCCAAGGACCATCCATATGAGCCCAGGAATTTGAGTTAGGACTTGAAGTTCTTTGACAATAAAGGAGTTGTCTTTCTAATTCTTTATTTCTGGATTCAAGTTCAGCAATACGATGTTGGAGGACACCAATTATATCTGATCGAGTTTAACTTACAGCCAAATAATTAGTGCATTCTTCTTTAAGTGTAGTTATTTCCTCTAAGACCATTTCCAACTTTTGTTCCAAGAGAAGATTATTTTGTTCCGACCTGCGCAAACATCTT